AGAAAACATTTGCTTCCAGGATATGGCAAAACGTTCAGTTGGTGGGCGACACAGTGCCAAGCTGCAGGGGGAATCCACCATAGCCCAGTGCAGTGTTCTTCAGGCAGGGAGGGCTTGAAGATTGCGAGGTGTTGAAACTTTCACCGCAGTCTTAAGCAAAGCAAATCTCTCTTCTCTCCCCTACCCCCCCCCCCCCGGCCTTTGAGTTAGTGTTCCATCGGCCTCGGAGAACGCACCCCAGTTCTCTAGGGCTCGCATTGCTCTTGTTCTTTTCACTTTTCTAGCCCAGGCTGGAGGGTAATGAACATGTCCCCCTCTGAACAAGGGGTGAGCAGCCTGCAGAGATTGACACACACTGGTGCAGCCCGAGGGGGGGGGGCAGGCTGCTGATCCTCGAATAGCCGTACCCCAGCATTGCTGGATGGACCCCTCAGCAGAGCCCAGCTGAGAGAAGCCAGCTCCTGCCAGTCAGGACAGGCCTGGCTGCTGTCTGGTCACCGGGAGGGCAGGTTCCCGCCAGTCTCACTGTTTCACCTTGTTTTGCAGGGCTGGAGCAGTGCCTATTCTATTGAATCAGTGATCATGCAGATCAGTGCCACGCTGGTGAAAGGGAAAGCCAGGGTGCAGTTTGGAGCCAATAAAGTAAGGCCCTGGTCTGGAGCAGCAGGGGAGGGGGGAGTGTTTGAGACCTTTGCAGTGTTTCAGCATCATCTACTCTGTGGATGCAGTTTAAGACACCTGGGAATCTTGGCTTTAAATACTTGGGAGCTGCCGTTTCCTTGGCTGACGCGATGAATCAAATGCCAGCAGTGAGCTTTGTCCGGGGCTGCGGGACGGAGCCAGTAATCCCAGCGCGAGGCCCCTGTGCTGTCATGCCACCCACCTGCGTCTCAGCACCCTCAGAAAAGCTGACAGGGCTCGGGGTGATGCGCTGCATTCTCGGTACGGCTCTAGAGCGGGGGCTGGCGACCCTGTGCAGATGGGATCAGTCACCAGCTGCCTGCCACCATCAGCTCTGAGCATCTGCAGCCTTAGGTGCTGGTCCCAGAAATGGGTGTGAAGTGACTTGGGGTGGGACACGCCATGGTGCGGGCCCGGTGCAGCTGGTTTAACTGATACCCCTGTTGTGTAGCACACGGACCTGACTGTCCCTCTGGCTTCCCCTTGCAGAATCAGTACAGCCTGACGCGAGCACAGCAGTCCTACAAGTCCCTGGTTCAGATCCATGAGAAGAATGGTAAGGCCTCCAGGGGTGGGGGTGTGTGTGGGGGGGTCTGTCCTCCCTTACCACGGGGCTCCTGCAGGGGGCAGCATGTTGAACCTGGCTGTGCTCACCTCGGAATCACTGCTGGAGAGCAGTGACCGAGTGGGCTGCAGCCAGTGTCCCCAGCTCATGCTTGGCCCTCGCTGCAAAAGCCGCCTCTTGCCCTGTGGGAAGGACCCTTAGCTCACTGCAGAGACCGAATGTAAGGGCCGTGCAGGGGAGATGGTGCAGCTGCTCAGCAGGACGTCTGGCCCTGTTCAAACGTCCCTGTGCCTGGCTTCACGATGTCTGATTCCATAAGGATTTACCCATCTTAGCCACATGGACGCTAGCAGCTGGGGCGCAGCAGGACTGTGTAGAGCAAACCCAGTCTCTGAAGGACTGCAGCAGCTCCAGGGAGCTGAATGTGTAATGCCTTACTTGGCCTGAGACCGAGATGAGTTACTACCTACACGGGTCTCTCCTGTTTGCTGAAACGAGCCGTCTCTTCCTCCTTGGCTTCCCAAATTCAGGTGCACCGGGCACGTTACGGGGTGGGTTAAATTTGTCCTGTCGGTGCCGGTACCCAGCTAATTAAACCGTGTAACACTCCAAGCTAAAACCACCTCTGCTAGCAAAGCAGTGTGGGTGATGCTTGGCCTGGCTGTCCTGGGCGGCTTGTGGCCCGGCAGAGCTAGACCAGATAGTGCATGTGAAGCGTTAACCTGCTAGAGATGGAGAGTCTCCTCCTGCCTGTGTGTGCAGCGGGCACCCCTTGCAGAGCTTCAGGAGCTGTAGTATGGGCAGAACCTACAGTCAAGGCTGGGACGGGGGAGGAGAGAGTCTCCTCCCCGTCTGCCATCACACAGCTGCATGGTCTCACATGTGAGGCACTTGTCACATGGAAGGAGTCTGGTGGGACTGTTCTGGGGAGTCTGAGACTTGTCCCTCCCATGGAGTCTTTGCTCTTGTTTCAGGCTGGTACACACCACCCAAGGAAGACGGCTAGCATTGACCGTTGGCTGGGCTCTGCAGGACCAACTGGTTACTTTTGAATGCTCTACTTGGCCCATAAAATGCCCCTGTGGCTCCCTCCTGGGATGATAGCTCTGCCTGTTTGCAGGACAGTAACGGCTGTTATAAACTCGATGGGGAAAACTGTGTAAGCAGTTGGACTGACGGGAAACTCTTGCTGGACCCTCGCGAGCAGGTGTCCTTATTAAAACAACTCTTGAGCCTCTTGTATCGCTGGAAACTTTCGACTCCGCTCCAGTCTAGAGCATCCTCCTCACCTATGCTACGGATTTAATTTATTTTCTTATTTCATGTACACTGCTTTTTTTGGTTACAGTGTATGATGGATGTGTATGGAAAATGTATCTTTGGAGAAAAATTACAGTTTGTTAATTTGAAGATGCTGGTCTGACTTTTTTTTCTCAAGTCACTGCTGAGCTGAGTTCTATGCTGCGGGTGCAACATACTGCTCTGAGCCCCCAGGCCAACTGTCTTCGGCGTGGCCCCTGGCCAGCTGTGTGTGGTGGGGGAAGTATGTCTTTCCTCAACTGCCCATGCTTGTGGATGGCCAAAATCTGTGTGAGATCAACCCTTCTGAAATCCCCCCAGGAGCCCTGACTTCCATGCTGTGAGAGAGGTGGTTCGCTTGCTAATCTGCTAAATCAAGAACAGATTTTCCTTCAAGAAACCACAAAGTTTCTCTCTTCTGGAGAACAGAGGCTAAAGTAGCTCTAAGGTGTATGTGCTCATCCTGCTGTGGGTGAGTGGTTTATGTGCTCTGGGGGAGGAGGGGCTGTCAGAAGCACCACACTTGCTCGCCTGTGAGATGTTGCCCAACTCTCTAACCTGTTCTCGTTTTGTCTCTGCCAGAGCTGCTGCTCAGTAAGACACGGGTGAGCAAAGCACTTCTCATGCAGGGAGACAAGTTCCCACTAACCTGGCTAACAGCTGGGCCAGTTGTTCTGCGCTCCCTATAGCGGTAACAGACCAGCTCTACCTCCTAAACGAGTGAGGCAGAGTTACTGGGTGAGTGGAGGATGGGCTGAAAAGGCAACCCTGTTTATGGCCCCCCCCAAATCCTGGGGGTGCTGATGAACTGAGTATGGCAGCTGGGCTCTGTCCTGTTGCCTCTGACTCCGTTTCCGAAGAGGTATATGACTCTGCCTGTTTTACCTTTGCTGGCAGTTAACTACGTGAACTCAGCCCTCGAACTGCTGAGTACAGCTGGGCACCATGCTGTGAACCCTCTGGCTATGGGCCATGAGACCAGCACCTCAGGGCGGGCAGATCATCCCACATCTGCCTCCTGTGAGGTTCCTGCCTTCCTGAGGTAGCTGCTGCTGGCAGCTAACTGTGGTAGATGGCCCACAGGTCACATCCAATGTGGTACCCAGGGGGTAAACTGTCCCCTGCTGCTCTCCTGGGGGAGGGTGTTGGACAGAATACTCCCTGCTCATCCCCTTTTCACTTCCTGTTCCCATCTTCCATCCCTTAAACTTGGCATGTCAGCACGTGGCTGCACCACTCATGCCATAAAGCCAGACTGTCAGTCTGAACTTACTCGAATAGAAGCTACTAGACCTCAAAGGCACTCAGAAGATGCCCATTCTCTTACCCAGCAGCCCTTCTACTTTTCACTGTCAACTGTGCAGCAGGGCTCTGGAATTACATGGACTGTCTCACTGCCTGCTTGTAGGCCAGTTCTCTTCACTAAATAAAAGGTGTGTGTCACTCAAGAGGGTCCATGGTGTTTTCCTTACTAATGTTAGGAGAGTTCCTCTCCCCCCTTTGAACAATGGTAAAATACTCAGCTGAAGGATCACAGAGGTAAGACTGCAGGGCAGTGATGTGCCATCAACCACACACTGGATAATGCTGCCAAGCCACTTCATACTAGAGATACTGAGCGCATTTCCCTCAAGCCCTAGCCAAAATAAGATTTCCCCTGGGACTAGAGCTTTAAACTCGGTAGATAACTGGCTAGAGCACCTCACTGAAATGTTCTACCCAGCTGCAAAGCCGAGTCCAAAGCCAGCCAGGATAGCCTCATGCAGGGGTTATACAGCTTTCTTTTGCCTTTCAGAAAAAGAGATTCTACCAATCAGGTTCACCATCCTGGGAGGCTACTGTGGGAGAATCTCTGGTTTCACAACTGCCAGCCCTGCCCACTGACTTTCACTTGTGAAATTAAGCTTGACAACTTCTGATCTAAACCTGGGGGCCAGGTGGGACCGAGGCCCTTTTACTTTAAACAAGCTTCTTGAGCTAGCTTCGTTCTTTCACCCAAAGGACCAGATCAACTTTCCTCTGAGCCCCTTAGCAATCAAGCCCCCAAACCAGACACGAGGGGCAGACCTGAGTTATCCAGAGCCCTGTTCGTTTCTTCCCCCTTCAAAAACAAACCAACCTCTGCCCTTAGCAGTTTAGTCACTCTTAAGACCTGAGTATTTGGACCCTGTCCATGGTCTGTCAAAGTAACAAAGTGGGGATTTGTACGATCCTTTACCCAAAGGAGCTTGCGGGCACAGCCTGCCCCAAGCCAGTGGCTGAAGGCTCGAGTCCTGCTGAAGAAAGGGCTGCAGGGCCTTGTCCTTATAGCACTGAGGGAACAACCTTCTCTCGGGCTCTTAAAGCTGCCCGGGCATGTGCTGGTCTAAAGAGGTGATTTGTGCAGCGGACAGGCACTCTGAACAGAACCACACCTAGCCTCTGCATGCCTCTAAACACACCCGCTGAGACAGCGTTATTGGGACTTGCCAAGCCAGGACAGGCCTTTCCAGGGTCCATTTAATAGTCGGGTGCCAGAGGGACAGTTACCAGCTCCCTCACAATTTTACAGAAAAATCAAAACGAGAGATCCCCTTTTAGCTATCACTGAACCTGGAGAAATGAGAGATGCCCCCTCCCCCCCCATCACACCACTGCAGCCAGTTAATAAGGCTGGTTCAGGTTGAAGACGACTTTTCCAAGGTCCAGCAGTTCTCTGCCCCCTCCTGCTTTGGGCAGCTAGAGGCAGGGGACTTCAGCTCAGAGCTCCTGAGGGTCCCCGGCTTCCTCTTCCTCGGCACAGAAGGTGAATGTCAGGATGTGAGGCTGGCACAAGGCAAGTGGGGCAGAGTTAGCCGGTCTCTCCCACCATTTCCAAATCCCTCTCAAAGCTGCCAGAGGCCTCCCTCCCCCTCCTCCCGTTCCAGGGAAGCTGGTGTAGGATGGGTAAAGATCTCACAGAGGTGTGGGAAGGAGCCCCAGGGGAACTGGTCACTGCTGTACACACACCAGAAAGCTGGCTTGGGTATGTACATTGGGTGTGAATGTCTCTAAACACTGGCCCAATGAAATATGACCCCAGGGTTGTGATGACAGACGGGACCAATGGTCCTGTGCATTTTGGGGAGGACAGCATCCTCTCAAACACCACACAAGCCTTTCACACACCCCAAGTGCTCAGGGCTACGTTACCTCCAGGCGAGACGGGCCAACCACCTTCCCTTGCAGGATTTGCCGGACCATGGGTCTTGCAGAGACCATCTCTAAAAGACAAAGAGGGTTCAGTGAGGTTCTGCCCTGCATCAGACGGAGGAACGCAGGACAGTAACTCAGCACTTTAAACAGCCAAGAGATTCCAGAGTTTACAGGGACCTGGCAGGTTGGTCCTGTGTATAGGCTGCGGGCCCGGGAGGTGGGAGACCCGGGGTTAAGGCCCAGCTCCATGTGACTTAATTCTCCACCCGTAAAATGCGGACATGGTACCCATCCCAGGGATGTTGTGAGGATACGAAGACAGGCAAATAGAAACCAGCGCTTCTGTTTCCAAGCATGCTGTGGCAGATCCCATTAACGAGGTGGTATTTTAATCAGAGGCGTTAACTAGTGATGGCAGGGCGAGGGATGCAAACCAGCAGGAAATGAGAATTCCCAGAAAAGCCAGTACAAGGTGGGCTTCCCATTACACCCAACCCACACTAGGAGCTGACCTGCTCTGAGGAGCAGCAAACATTTGATGGGAAATTAGGAGTTTGTGATACGTCATCACTAGGCAGCAACCCAGCAGCAGGAGTGAGAAAGGAGAAAAAGGCATCAAAGACCTTCGGGGTAAGATAAGATCTACTATGTTCCTGGAAAAGCGGGTGAATGTTTTGCCACTGGGGCTGTAAGTATTCAAAGCAGAGAAAGCCACAGTGCTTTTACAGCTGCAGAGCGTTCTTCCAGCCCTGGTTTGCACCTCCACATTGGGAATTGGGGGATTTATACTGAAAATACTGTTTTTTTAGTATCAGAGGGGTAGCCGTGTTAGTCTGAATCTGTAAAAAGCAACAGAGGGTGCTGTGGCACCTTTAAGACTAACAGAAGTATTGGGAGCATAAGCTTTCGTGGGTAAGAACCTCACTTCTTCAGATGCAAGTAATGGAAACCTCCAGAGGCAGGTATAAATCAGTCTGGAGATAATGAGGTTAGTTCAATCAGGGAGGGTGAGGTGCTCTGCTAGCAGTTGAGGTGTGAACACCAAGGGAGGAGAAACTGCTTCTGTAGTTGGATAGCCATTCACAGTCTTTGTTTAATCCTGATCTGATGGTGTCAAATTTGCAAATGAACTGGAGCTCAGCAGTTTCTCTTTGAAGTCTGGTCCTGAATTTTTTTTTGCTGTAAGATGGCTACCTTTACATCTGCTATTATGTGGCCAGGGAGGTTGAAGTGTTCTCAACAGCTTCCACCCCACCATCGACCTCAGCCTGGACCAATCTAGATGGGAGGTCCACTTCCTAGACACCACAGTACAAATAGGCGATGGCCACGTTAACACCACCCTATACCAAAAAACTACCGACCGCTCCGCCTACCTTCATGCATCCAGCTTCCACCCTGGACACACCACACGATCCATCGTCTACAGCCAACCGCATCTGCTCCAACCCCTCAGACGGAGACCAAACACCTACAAGATCTTCACCAAGCATTCTCAAAACTACGATACCCACACAAGAAAATATAGAAACCAATCAACAGAGCCAGACGTGTACCCAGAAGCCTCCTGCTACAAGACAGGCCCAAAAAAGAAACCAACAGAACTCCACTGGCCATTACCTACAGTCCTCAGCTTAAACCTCTCCAACGCATGATCAGTGATCTACAACTCATCTTGGACAATGATCCCTCACTTTCACAGACCTTGGGAGGCAGGCCAGTCCTCGCCCACAGACAACCCACCAACCTTAAGCATATTCTCACCAGCAACCACACACCGCACCATAACAACTCTAACTCAGGAACCAATCCATGCAACAAACCTTGATGCCAACTCTGCCCACATATCTACACCAGCAACACCATCACTGGACCTAACCATATCAGCTACAACATCACCGGCTCATTCACCTGCACGTCCACCAATGTTATATATGCCATCATGTGCCAGCAATGCCCCTCTGCTATGTACATTGGCCAAACTGGACAGTCACTACGCAAGAGGATAAATGGACACAAGTCAGATATCAGGAATGGCAATATACAAAAACCTGTAGGAGAACACTTCAACCTCCCTGGCCACACAATAGCAGATGTAAAGATAGCCATCTTACAGCAAAAAAACTTCAGGACCAGACTCCAAAGAGAAACTGCTGAGCTCCAGTTCATTTGCAAATTTGATACCATCAGATCAGGATTAAACAAAGACTGTGAATGGCTATGCAACTACAGAAGCAGTTTCTCCTCCCTTGGTGTTCACACCTCAACTGCTAGCAGAGCACCTCACCCTCCCTGATTGAACTAACCTCGTTATCTCCACACTGATTTATACCTGCCTCTGGACATTTCCATTACTTGCATCTGAAGAAGTGAGGTTCTTACCCACGAAAGCTTATGCTCCCAATACTTCTGTTAGTCTCAAAGGTGCCACAGGACCCGCTGTTGTTTTTTTAGTGTAATGGAGAGACAAGAGATTAACCTTGCAGCTGGTCAACTGCAATACACCTACCTGGCCAGCAAGTGACACTGCACAACCAGAAGGTTGTTTCTACCAAACTGAAGTTTAAAATCAGTTACAGACCACGGCTGTTGCCATGGGAGGCTGCAAAGGACCCAACGCCCCAGCTGTGCAAAGCGATCCAGTCAGAGCATCAGTGGGAACGGATCCCTTTGCAACATCGGGGCGTTATGCTAGTACCTTTTTGGAACATGAAGGGCTGGGCCAGCGGTTTTATGTCCCAGAAATCGTCTTCATCCAGCTTCCGCAGTGAGTTCAGAGGGACAGTGGCCGAACGGCCAAAGTCCACAAAGAGAACTACTGCAAGATCTTCCACTTTCTCCAAGACCCAGCACCTGTGAGGGTCAAACAAGAGAACGTGAGCCCAGAAAGAAGCTACAGGACCCAGGGTTTAATACAGGGGTAGGTAACCTATGACACGTGTGCCGAAGGGGGCACGCGAGCTGATTTTCAGTGGCACTCGCACTGCCCGGGTCCTGGCCACTGGTCCGGGGGGCTCTGCATTTTAATTTAATTTTAAATTAAGCTTCTTAAAACATTTTAAAAACCTTATTTACTTTACAGACAACAATAGTTTAGTTACATTATAGACTTATAGAAAGAGACCTTCTAAAAAGGTTAAAGTGTATGACTGGCACATGAAACCTTAAATCAGAGTGAATAAATGAAGACTCGGCACCCCACTTCTGAAAGCCTGACGACCACTGGGTTAATATTTGTCCTGCAAAGAGGAGGGAGAGAGAGGCCAGCTGACTGCCTCAGGGGTTAGGGAATTTTTGTGTTTTTTTTTTAAACAGTGCAGCTTAAAATCTCAGCAAAATGGAGTTTTGACTGCAATGTTATCTCCTGCCATCTCAGTAACTCAGACCGGGAGAGCGAAGCCAGGGCAGGCCGGGTCAATACCCGCATGAGAGACCTTCAGGGAAGAAGCCGGGTGAGACGAGCTAGTTCTGGGCACTCAGCAGGGGGCGCCTTTCACCAGCATAGTGCGAGGTGACACCGTGCGGCTGGTGAACCGCAAAGCTTGGCTGGAGCGACGTGTGCTTTGTTTGAAGGCGGCCGGGGGTTCACCCCAACATGGGACAAACCCCAGCTTGGATAATTGCACTTGCTGAGTTCGACTGCCCCTCTGCCTGGGAATTCGCGCTTCGTTCCCTGGGCTCAGCAGCGGCCAGGCGGTGCTGGCACAGAGCGGCTGCGGCTCGGTAATGGGGACAGAGGCTCCTGCACGGGGTGAAGGTGCGCTAAGAAACCTGCAGACCAGGAAAGTGCCACATGCCCTCCGTGCACAGTGCGAGGGGAACCGATATCAGCGAATGTTCCCCCCCACTCCCCCGCCCCTTTGGCCCCAGCACTGCCTCTCGCCCAGCCGGTCCATTCTGAGCATGCAGCTTGTTCCCTAAACCTGTTCCACGCCGCGCCGTCGTCCCCCAGAATGCACTCTGCCATGCACCGGGTCCCTCGCTGCACCGCCTGCTTCGGCAGGTAGGGCTGCTTGGATTCCTCTTCCGCCAGCTGGCAGAACAGCTTGTGCATGTTCGAGTGACTTTCCTGCCGAGGAAAGAGCAGAGCACAGCACCCACTCAATCCCACCCCTCACGCCAGGCTGCCAGCGCGACTGCACATCCACCACCACTCACTTGTACTCTGGTGCCAGCCGAGGTTCTCCACTCCCCCCCCACATCCAGCCACTCTGGCTCACTCCCTTTGCAATTCAGCAAATCACGCTTAGCCCCCCGGGGCGTCAGTGGGATTTCAGCATGTCCCTGGCTTGGGAGCGAAGACCCCAGAGCAGAAACCAAACAGGGCGGGGGGAGGGATTGGAACTTGATCCCACAGTGCCTTTTCCTCGTTACATTTGAGCCTTGTAAATTCAAAGCGCAGAGTTCCCAGTGTGAAACCGTGCTCAGAATGGGCATCAATCATCCCGTCCCCGGAAATCAGAACTCCCCGCGGTTCCCTTTGCACGTTTGGCCTTTTCCTCGTGGGCCTACAAAATCATTACGCAGACTGCTCGTAGACCCCCCCAGGACGGGCTAGCCCAGAAATACACGTGTTACAGTCGGATACACGCACCCCCAGAACAAGGCGACCGTCTCACAGGGGCTCCCGTGAAAGGACTCACAGCCCGGCTTTCCCCGTGCCTACCTCTGTGAGGTGTATGGCCCAGAAGTACGGGGTCTGTGGCAGAGCATCCGTCACCAGCAGCCCCGCCTCTCCGTGCAGCTTTGCAATGGACACCAACCAGTTCAAATCCTTAAAGCAGTCTTTCAGCATGAGGGCCAAGAAGGAACCTCTGGAGTGGAAACAAACTAGCTAAAGTCAGCAAAGGGAAGGCTTCTCACGTGGTGCAGCCCTTCGCAAGGTGGGGGAGAGAGGGTGCGATCTAGCCAACAGAACGCTTCTCGTCCCTTTCTCTCCAAGGCCCTGCATGCTCATTGACAGAGGCCTCCAGCGGCGGCTCTGTCTCTCTTCACCCGCCAGCAGATTCGACAGGTGCCAAGCGAAGAGCAGCGGCTGGAATGAATTCGTTCTAAGAGTTCTGAGATGACCGAGTCTGGCAGGGGGAGGAGAGGCCGAGGCACAGGTTGTGGGGTGGGGGGGAATCGGGGGCTAGGTACCCGGGTCGGCGGAGTTATGGCGTTTGAGCTATTGGGGAGGAGGCGAGCGGATTGGTGCACTGGCCTGGCCTGGCGGAGGTCAGAGAACTGAGATCCTCTAACGAGGTTCCCAGCAGGATGGAACGTGGCCACCCCGGCCAAGCAGCCAGGACTGAACGAGTGGCAGAGTGAGGAGCATTAAACGTCACAGCGTCGTTATCCCAGAGCCGGTAATGCTGGCAGGCCGGGGTCCCTGACACTGGTGCTTACCTCATTTCCATGGGAACCGCGTAACAGATCTGCCTCACTGCATCGGGAGGTGCCGGCTGCAGGGTTTGGTTCTCTGCCTTTGCTAGGAGCAGAGGAAGAACAGGAGGGTTTGAGATTTAAACGAGCCCTTTAATTAAAATCCGCCAGACGGGATTTCAGTCGCCTTCCCCTCCTGCTCCGGGAGCTCGCGCGACTGCTGGAGAAGGGGTTTAGAAACCTTACAGCGAGATTTAACCGGAGCAACCGAAACGTGCCCAGCGGCATTGGTCACCCCCAGAACCTCCCCCAAATTAGCTAAGCCAGTCCCTCGTGCGACCGAATTCCCTCGTCCCCAGCAGGCCCACGTGCACCAGAGTCGCAGCCGCCTTTTCAGGCAGGACAGTCGTGGGGTTTGGAGCCGGTTTGGTGTTTTGGCAGCCACAGGGTGAGCTGCTGACAACAGGGACTAAGGAACACACAGGCGAGCTCCTGCAAAGCCACGAGCCCAGGGGACGTTCCCCTTTGAGACTGGCAGGGGACACTTGGGAATTTGATGAACAGCGAGCAGATCAGGGTACAGGTGGCTGCTGAATTAGAAGCCACTCCAGGTTCCTGGGCCTACCAGCCTGTGCAACCTCCAGTGCCCCTGGGTCTAGGACAGGCCAGCCGCCGGGGGGGCAGAGGGGACAACTGACCTTCCTGCCCGCCCTCGCTCAGCACCGCTCCGGGAAGCGTCCGGAAAGTCCCTGCGGCCCTGGGGAGGGGGTCTCCACACGCTGCCCCCGCCCTGAGCACCGACTCCACAGCTCCCATTGGCCAGGAACTGCAGCCAATAGGAGCTGTGGGGGCGGTGCCTGTGGGCAGCAGCAAGCGGAGAACCCCTGCCCCCCCCCCAAACAGCTGCTGCCAAAGGGTGTGTGGGTCGCTTTCAGGAGCCACCCGAGGTAAGTGTCGACCCCCTGACCTTCTCCTGTACCCCGACCCCCTGCCCCAGCCTAGAGCC